CGCCGACGCAACGCCAAAGTTGTATGTGGACGTTCTCAGGCCGAAAAGCAAACGATCGTTGCTTCTCAGGCCGAAAAGCAAACGATCGTACGCTTCTCAGCATTTCTTCGTGTTGGTGCAGTGGCTATTCGTTTTCGTTTTCAAATATGACAGCAGAAGGAACTGACGAACTGCGAAAGCCGATCAATTTCTTCTGCTTCTGCTTCCGTACTTTTCAATAAGCAAGCATCAGCAAAATGCCTTTGCTGATAAGCGAAGGTGGGCTCTTCCACAAACAAGCGTTCGCTAAAATTGAGAATGTGTTAGGCTATCTGCACACTAGTCGTCCATTCATAGTTGCGTTATCGTCTCGCCCTAAAATTTTGAGCCGAGCGCATGCTTTTCACAGGAGATCTGCACACTTGTCGTTATAGGCTAGTTATCGGCAAACCGTAGAAGATGCAGAAAAGTACGGCACTGTCGTTTACTAATCGTTGTGCACGCAATGTTTGTTTATATTTTATGGGAAACAATTGAATGGGCGCCTCAAATAACGTTGTAAGCGACAATTTGTTCAAAGCTAGTTTCCTTGATTTTAAAGATATTAATGTGAATATTTTATATTTTTAAAGGCAAGATTCTTGAAGAGTGCTATAGCGAAAAAGTAGAAAACCAAATTAAATCCCCGTTTGCTCGTCAGTAAACAAGTTTTTTTTTCTATTTTGTAAAATTATAATTTTGTCGCTTACAACGTTATTTGAAGCGACCATTCAATTAGTGAAAAAGTTAATATTTGCATTAAAATTGCATAAAAATGTGTATTTTTTGCACAAAGTGGATATTAGATAATTTGAGAGTTTTAACTATAAAATATGACGAATTGTAAAAAGCCTCTGCGTGCGTACACAAAACACATTTCAGGAAAAGAAGAGAAGTGATATTACTGAAAAATTATGTCTAGAATTGTTGCAGAACAGTCCATATTTAAAAAATTGCAGGTTTTTGTAAATATTTCGCGAAAATATCAACCAGAAAAACAGAAAATACCTGCTCCAAGTGATATTTTGGACGCAAAATGAATTGAAATAACACGACCGAGTGTGCGAAGGTGTAGTCGTCATGTAATCGTTGCACCATGATTGCGACGATGAAGCAACTATAATGGGACGACCAATGTGCAGAAAGCCTTAGTGTGCCTCCAGTGTTGCCAGGACTTAAGCATGAGAAAACGTCCCTCTTGTACAAAAAATTGTTCTTATTAAACTTTTATTGTATACAAAGGTACATATGTACGTAAGGTATATTAAAATGTCATTTCGACAGAGAACATTTAGAATTCATTTTAAACTGGTTTGAGATCGTTAATATAAAAATGATTTTATACATACACTTGTTGATTAAGTCATCACCATTTTGATCGATTTTTACTGTTTCTCTTTTGTTTATTTGATGTCTATTATTTTTCTATAAAAGCTAAGCTCATTATATAACAAACAGTTTAATAGTCTATTAAATTTCAGGCAATAATGTTTAAAGGGGCTACATAATCGCGTTGATTTTTAATAATTTTTTTTCTTGTAGACATTTCGTTAGGGGGTCGGTTGTCGAAAATGCTAAATTACGTTCTGCTAAGAAGGAGCATAGCAATATTTCAGCCTTTTTTGCATTCATTACATTTTCAATGAAGTCTTAAAAAAGTCGCCTACTTTTTTCTGACTTTTTATGCGACTACAGCTTTTTTGATGCTTTTGCGAGCGTGCGTGTTGCAATAGATCAGCTCTTCCTGATTTGGCTTTTAATGTGCAGTTGCAAACATTACAATTAGTATCGTAACCTCAAGCGTTTACACAACCAGCCTTTGTCCAAGAATCCAAAAAAAAAATGCGCGTAGACTTGGTTTGCATCATATTTAAGTCATCTGTGTCCAAAGAATAAATATCTTTTGAAGCAGCTGCTGCAAAACACAAAGCTTGTAAAGATTTATTAAGAAAATAATTCAAAAACAGTTCTACTTACAAGATTTAATAAAAATTACTGGAAAGTTAACAAACGTAATTTTTTATACAGAAAACGTCCGAACGTCAACAGGATAAAAAAACCTCCAAATGACGTTAAAAACGTCAATCTGGCAACGCTGTGTGCTTCATCCATTTTGCAAGCTGCTGCGTTGTCATCGTTGCGCTCTTGCTTGTATACGTACACGCAGCGTTGCCAGGTTGACGTTTTTAACGTCATTTGGACGCTTTTTGTATCCTGTTGACGTTTGGACGTTTTTTGTGTAAAAAATGACGTTTTTTAACTTCCCAGTAATTTTTCTCTGTTACTAAATCTTATAAGTAGAACTGGTTTTGAATTATTTTCTTAATAAATCATTACAAGCTTTGTGTTTTGCAGCAGCTGCTTCAAAAGATTATTATTCCTTGAACACAGATGACTTAAATATGAGGGAAACCAAGTGTACGCGCATTTTTTTGGATTCTTGGACAAAGGCTGTTTGTGTAAACACTTGACGTTACGAGACTAATTGTAATGTTTGCAATTGCACATTAAAAGCCAAATCAGGAAGAGCTGATCTATTGCAACACGCACGCTCGCAAAAGCATCAAAAAAGCTGTAGCAGCATAAAAAGTCAGAATAAAGTAGGCGACTTTTTTAAGACATCATTGAAAATGTAATGAACGCAAAAAAGGCTGAAATATTGCTATGCTCCTTCTTAGCAGAACATAATTTAGCATTTTCGACAACTGACCCCTAACCAAATGTATACAAGAAAAAAAATTATTAAAAATCAACGCGATTATGTAGCCCCTTTAAACTTGCACATTATTCCCTGAAATTTAATGGGCTATCAAACTGCATACTCAAAAAAATTCAAAAAAATCTGAATAAAAAGTTGAAAATATAGTTGTAACTTTGCAGATTTTTTATAATTTTTTCACAACGTTTTATATTTTGTTTGTTATGTAATGAGCTTGGCTTTTATGGAAAAATAATAAATATTAAATAAACAAAAGAAAAACAACCAAAATCGATCAAAATGTTGATGACTTAATCAGCTGATCACAAGTGTATGTATAAAATCATTTTTATATTAACGATCTCAAACCAGTTTACAATGAAATCTAAATTTGCTCTGTCGAAATGACATTTTAATATACCTTACGTACATATGTATGTACCTTTGTATACAATAAAAGTTTAATAAGAAAAATTTGTTGTACATTCATTTGAAAAAGACGTTTTTGGGTAGGAAATGACGTTTTTTCAGAACAAGAGGGACGTTTTCTCATAACGAAGACCTGGCAACACTGCGTACACGCTATGTTTACCTCTTTGAGCGTGTGCTCGTTCTCTGCCCATGCCTGCTGATAAGCATCGCATTCGTGCCGGAAAGCAAACAATCGTTTACTTGTCAGCTCTTCTCGTTTTGCTGCTGTGGCTGTTCGTTTTTTTCAAAGCCAAAGCAAAAGCATGAATCATGATTCAATAATACAAGGTTGGATAAACTGACAGTTGTCTCTCTCGCACCGCTCCCTTAGCAGCGGCACCGTGTTGCTTCTTTGCAAATTTGCTTGGAAAAAGTGTAGCTTTTGTGTGAAATAGAAGTATAAGCTTTTGTGCAATGTGCTTATTTGTATATGCATATGAAGCTTATTTAACTGATAAAAACATAAGCTGTTTTTAAATTGGATGTTTACATCAATCTTATAGTAGTTTTATTTTAATTTTCAGTCTTTGCAGTTTTATACAGCTAAATAGCACATAAATTACGTAATTCACGTAGCTATATCATTATTACTTTCAATATTTCGTTCAAAATGCCAGATTTCCTGCAAATACATTAGAATTTACAAAGGGAATATCACTACTTATTGCGTACTTTTCTACTACCATTTTCACTCCAGAGATTTCATTCTTCCCCTTTCTCCGTCCTTCGTAAATGCAACCTTTTGTAAGGGAGTGTCAAACCGCGGCTGTCAATAATTATCTAACCTTGTATTATTGAATCATGAGCATGAATATTGCTTTTGCAGCAAGACAACTTCAGAAGCACAGCATCAGCATATTTTCGTTGCTTTTGCTAATACTGCTTAAGCTAGGGCTGTGCGATTAATTGATTACTCAAAATTTTAATTAATCATAAAGTAAATAACTCAATTATTCGATTAATTGGAAATTATGATTACTCAAAAGTTCAGTTACTCGAGTAATCAAGATTTTTGATTAACCAAAAACAAAAATATTTGAGTAATTTGCTTTATGATTAATCAACATTTCGAGTAAAATGAGTAATCAACATTTCAACTCTTTACATATAAAGTAGTTGAAGTTCCTTGATACTCTGAAATCATCGTTTCTGTTTTCAAAAATTGAAACAAAAAATTTTTTTCATATACAGAATGTAAAAAAGAAAATAAGCATTTTCCAAAGCAAACTTTTTTAACGAGCAAAATTATTTTTTTTGAGTAATCATATTTCAATTAACTCGATTAATCATCGTTTTGAGTAATCAAAATCTTGATTACTCGAGTAATTGATTAACCGAATAATTGATTAACCAACTTGCTCGAGTAATCGAATAATCGCACAGCCCTAGCTTAAGCATCTCAAACCCTGTAGTGCGATTCTGTAACTCTTAGCAATAAAAAAATTGTTAGGTTACATAACAACTTTTGCCGTTTGCACTAACAATTGTGTGATTCTCTAACTCTTGCTTAACAGCGAAAAACAGCTGATTATTCCTTTTTATTTAAAATGATGAAATGTGGCATCTCAGTCGAGATAAATGTCAAATATGCGAAAAGTACAAAGAGGAATAAGAAAAAAAAACTTATTTCCTTCCCGCGGAAACGGAATTTTTAGCGCCAGCAACGTATTGCAATTTTAAAAGGTAGTATTTAGTTATTTTAGTTATTAATTGGAATTTACTAGAACTTCTTTTATTTCAGGATGTCTATCCAGCCGACGAAAAGGAGCCGTGCATCGGGGGAGCAGTTAAGCGCGATGCTTGACTTTCTGGGTGAAAACCCGAATGCGGCGAGCGGCAAGTTCCAGAAGCTCCATGGCAAGTTGGAGAACACCAAGAAGTGGGCAGAGATGGCAGATAAATTAAATTCTCTTGGGGGGGGCTGCCAAATCTGTGGAGCAATGGCAAAATGTAAGTATAAGTGATGAAGTACGGGCATTTCCGGAAATGCATTACTGCAAAACATCGCACCTCTTATTCCAAAAATATGTTTGCTGAAATCAGACATCATTATATACTTAAGTATAAGGAGAGGTGCTTTGCAGTAAGGCATTTCCGAAAACGGCCTACACCAAAGAATAGTAAAGTATGAAAGTGTGTTTCTATTTTGCAAAAGGTCTGGCGCGACCTAAAAAGTCGAACATCGACGCGAGTTCGTGATCGTAAGAGGGAGCAAGCATTGACGGGGAATATACCGCTTCAACAGCCTCCCTTGAACGAATTGGAGAAGCGGGTAATAGCTCTAGTGGGAAGCAGCTATATGGAGGGGCAACCGGATGTCCAGGAGAATATTCCCATGGAAGAGGTAAGTTGAATTGTACCGTATTAAAAGCCCATGCCAATATGTTAATCATATTGCAATATTCATTATGCTATTTTTAGGAACTGCAATTAACATTGGGGGCGGCGGATGAAAATTTCCGCTTAGTCATGGAGGAAGACACCATGGTAATTCCTCCACTAACGGTGTCGGATGGCGAGTCGGAAATTCGGTGCGAAACTCCGAAAACGCCGAGGCAAACACCGCGCAGAACCGCTAAGCGGAAACGTGCGGAAGAATCGCCAACAAAGGCGAAATTTTTAAGAATTGCCGAGGCACAGGCCGAATCAGAAAAGGTAATTTTTTCAATACTGTATTTGTATTGAATTATTAATAAAACTTTTATTTTCTTAGAGGCTTGCTGAAAGTGCTGCAACCAACGCGGAGGCCAACCGCTCCAATGCTGAGGCAATAAGCAGAATGGCTGCTGCCACAGAGCGAATGGCTACCGCAACTGCAACAATGGCAGAGGCCTTCACGGTGTTGGCGGAGGGGGTGAAAGCTTGTGCGCATGCTTTCGCCCAGTTTACTAATTCACTGGGCCCTCCCCAATAGATGTAAATTGTTTGTGTATATACTTTTCTTTTTCTTTTTTAAGGTTCATTAATTTTTTGTTAAAGTTAAGCTCCTTAGCTAACAAAACCAATATAAGTCCAAATTTGAGACTTTGTACAAAAATTACAAAAATTCCACAAACTGTTCTTCACAATTCCAAGCATTTTAATTTTGATTTCTAGAATAATGCAATTTTATAGCTTATTAAAATCGAGTATAATAAAGTGCAAGTTATTCTATAAATTAAAATTATAATGCTTAAGAGGGGACGAAAAGTTTATGTAATTTCTATAATTGTTGTACAAAGTCTCTAATTTGGACCTATATTGGTTTTGTTAGTTAAGGAGCTTAACTTTAACAAAAAATTTATGAACCTTAAAAAAGCACAGAAAAGTAGTCAAAACTGGTAAAAATTTTGATGTGCTATCTTTTGTCGCGGGCTGTATGTATATACATATTTTTATTAATAATAGGCTAGATTATTATTAACTTATTTGTTGGTGCCTTTTTACTTTTTTGTTTTTCAAATGAATTGTTCTTAGTTGAATCTTGTTTTCTGAATTTGTTTATAGTGATAAGTGTTCGTGCCTTGAGTATACGCATTTTTTTTTAATATTCGCAATGTTTTTTATGCTATAAATTTTTGCTCAGTTTTTTTTTTTCAAAGGATGGCTCATATTTTAACAAATACTATACAAATCTAAGTTTCACACTGTATACATAAATTAGAAGTATTCTGCCAAGTTTTATCCAAATCGCAAGATTTTTAATAAGAATTTCCAAAAAAAAGTATGTATGCATCCCAATTTTATTATAATTTGCAAATTTCAAATGTCTAAAAATTTGGGTTGTTTAATAATTTTTTGCTGTCCTGTGCATTTTTTCCATATAAAGCATTTTCAATCATTTTTTATATGGTAAAAATGCATAGGACAGCAAAAAATTAGTATAAAACAACGCGCATTTTCAGACATTTAAAATTTGCACATTATCATAATAAAATTGGGATGGATACATACTTTTTTTTTGGAAATGCTTATTAAAAATCTTGCCATTTGGATGCAACTTGGCAGAATACTTCTAAATTATGTACATATACAGCGTGAAGCTTAGATTTGTATAGCATTTGTTAAAATAGGAGACATTCTTTAAACAAAACAAAAAATTCACAAAAATATATAGCAAGAAAAACATTGCGAATATTAAAAAAAATATCACCGTATTAATTATTTAATGAATTATTTTATTTTCATTTAGCTTTGGTGGCTATTATTAACTAATTTAATTTTATTGTACTGATTTTGAAATAAATGAAATGGTAATTTAATAAAAACTTCGTTTTATATATTTAATATGTATAACAGCATTTAATGCATATTTTTATTTACATATATTATTTATTTTATCAAAGAAGAATTAATAAAAAAAGTTAATACTGAGGCTAAATAGTTTGCTTTTATTTTATTAGTTTTCTTACCGGCTACTGAAATTTTCTAGTGAAACTGAAATATGTACTTATAGTTGAATATATGTAATTTGGTTATGATTCAAAACAACAATTTTATTACGTGTGTCAAGTTATCACTATATTTTTCTAAATATAAAAAGTTAAATAAGTTTTTCTTTCCACAACAAACTTACAACAAAAAAGTTACAATTAATGCCGTATTTAACTTTTAAATGAGTTGAAATAATGCATTATATAACAGTTGTGCATGTACATAACAGTTGTGCACAAAATAAAAGGAGTCAAAATATCGCATTCCTATTATTTCGTGGACCACTCTAAATAATATCGGGTAGATATTTCCAATCAATTTATAATGTCGATACCCCAGTTATTTCAATGTCTACATGCATTCAGAGTACATAAAATGGTGAAAAATTTGTTAAGTCATTAAAAATATGTTTGCTTTAAATTTGTAGAAAAACATATCGTCACCTGAAACTCAAAAAGACGTAACAAAAATCATTGTTAAAATGCAAAAAGTCATAACTAATAAAAAATTCAAAATTTACTTTTTGATTTATATAATGGATTTCAACGAGTTACAACTTCCCACATCATTTTATGAAAAAAATAATGAAAATATTAGTCACGACTTTTTCAATCTCATTTACGATATTGTTACGTCTTTTTTGCATTTCAGGTGACGATATGTATTTACTTATTTGGTACTTATTCAATAAGTGTCAGGGTGCCGGTAATGTTGTGGTATGATCCTTCTTTGTTATCAAACTGGTTCTTTAATTGACTTAATGCGCATTTGGCAGCTGTGCACTTCACTGATAGTTACGACCAATACCCCGGAATGAGCTAGGTTGACCCTTGCACGGCGCCCATCAGCCGTTCGTCGTCATTGAAACGCTTCAAAACGTATTGGAATCGATGTAGTAAAGCAGTAACCGCCAAGCGCCCAGTGAAGACATTCGAATTCAATGATGTATCACCCCCGCAGTTGTATGTGCTAGAAAATTTGTGTTAGCGCTATTAAAAATGCCTGACTAGGCACATAAAACTCCTCTTTGGCATGGTTGTTTTTCGTTGTGATCTTTGTGCTTTCAATGCCGGTATTTAGCCAAATATTCCATGCAATCTACGTACAAGAAATGAATAAGAGATCTAAAAAGGTACTAAACTTCCCGCTAAACACAACTCACCCTGCAAATTCCTCATCTTTGTTTCCGCTGTTTCCTCGTTAGCAAGTGACGCCAATTTGTCTGCATTGTCATGCATAATTTCTTGCAGAGATTTTAGTGCGGCCAGCGAGTCTTCACAATTTTTACTCAAGGCAGCACCATCCACCTTCTCACTGCTTCCCGTACTGGAAAGCGCACGCACATTATCAAGCAACGGAAATAGAACTTGCCAAACGAGCGTCTGTTATGTGGGCTGGTTCAACAAACGACCATGCCAAAAAGAATGCGGCAAAGAGCATTGTGAACCGCACTCGCGGCAGTAACTATGCAATTACCAACTGAAGACACATAGGTATCAGCGGCTCACTGAAATGGTGAAATATGTATACACATTCCTTTGAAAATAATACCAAACAGAACACGCAATTTTACCTATGGGGATCATTTGCCTTCCAACATTTCTCAGGCAGAGAAGCGAGTATTATGCCAACAGCATTGATGTAGGTTTGTATCTCTTTTTATGGTATCCATGAATAACCCTTCACAACAGCACCGGCACTCACAAATTCAATTGTTGTTTATTGGTTTAAAGCGAAACGCCCGGACAGTGTAAGGGCGCTGTTGGGTTGGTTGTTTTGTAATAGATTTAGGAACATTTTCAGCAATATAGGCTGTATTGATCCGGTCCGCCGGTCAATTCTTGGCACGTTTAATGGCTGCTCATTATCGGTATCATATAAATATGATGCAATGTATGCAAATGCCATTTTTTAACACAATCTTCACAATTTTCTCAATTTAACTTCACAGCAAAATTAGTAAACAACAGCTTAACAAAGAAAAACTAGATGCTGTTAGCTTAACCACAAAAATAATTGTCACCAAACAGCTGACTGCGTTTGTTAACACTAAACAATGACAAATATGGTTAAAGTTGATACACAATCACTTAACCCCAAAAAAAGTTGTTAACTAGAGATAACAACGTGAAATGTGGTTAAAATAAGATTCAGAATCGCACTACTGGATAGTAGCACCCTTTTATTTTTCTTCGCCTCACGGCTTCATATGTCAAATGGCTGCTGTTGATTGGTTGGGGCAGTTGATTGTTTATTGTGTTCTGTTCTCTTTCACATCCTTCGTATACAATTTTTGACAGTCCTCGCCGCAAAAGCAAAAACAAAATACATGTACCACCTTATTGAATACGTCTTGATGGTAATAGGGAATTTACATGAGGCGATTTTTCAGGCGATTTTTTGGTTGAAAGCAACAATCGCCTGGTGTAAACGGCCTTTCAACTAATCGCTTTCAATGAAGTTGGTCAGCTGCCTACTTTCGTTCAACTTTTGATTCAACTAATCGCCTGCGAAAGTTGAATCATGTAAATTGCCTATTATGAAGCTTTTATTCGCTGGTTTTGGTGTGCAATTCTGCTGTTCTGCGTTCCTGCGCCGCACAGTGGGGCAAAAAAGGTTGCTGTGAATGAATTTTGAGAGCCCAAATATGAACCGATTTCAAGTTTCTTTTTTTTTTTTTTAATAAAATATAATTAAATTTCGCGTCGATCTATCCGTGCAGATTTTTTAATATAGCTCTGTTTTTTTTATTTATTTATGTTGAAAAATGAAAGAAAAAAAAGTTTACGTTGGAATCCTTCCACTTTTTTGGAAAATATTTGAAAAATTAAAAAAATGCATTTCATTCGTTATCTATACTAATATATATTTTGAAAGCCTTTTTTTCGCTTTTTTCTAATCGAAAACCTCGAGAACAACAACCGATATTATTGAAATTTTGGACATAGACCCTCAAAGGATGATAATAGAAGAAAAATAATTTCGATATATCAAGGGGGCGTGGTACCTCCCATACAAACTGAAGATTTCACACAACATATCTCTGGAAGTATTCATTGTAGAGTGCTGCAACTTAGTACAGAGATATATAATATCAACGCCAAACTCATGGAAAAAATTGGGGTTATTGATAAAGGGGGGGTCTAACACCACATACACATTCTAATGTGAGAAATTCAGTTTGTATGGGAGGTGCCACGCCCCCCTTTTTCAATAACTCCCATTTTTTCCATGAGTTTGGCATTGATATTATAATATGATTTGCAATAACGCAAAATTTCACTTTTAAATGGTTAATAATACCAAAATCTGAGTTTTGCTTTATTTCCAACAAAGGTTGGAAATAAAACAAATTTTGCCTTATTTCCCATTGCTTATTTATACCAATTGTTACAAAACCAATTTACTGATAGAAGGAAAAAGAACTTTGTTTATTCCAAAAACACAATTAAACAAAAAATGTGATATAATTCATATGAAGAAAGTAATATTCAAAAAATATTTTTACTTATGAAAAGTCTAACAAAATGTAGGAAAAGAGTCGTCTTTAATAACTGCTCAACAAATTGGACATAGCGCCTTTGTATGAATTTTATCTGCATGCTTTTTAAAAACATTTCGTTATAGAACTTTTTCAGCATTCGATAGCTATTTAATAAAATTTTAGGAAGGTACCTGG